AATTCGAAACAAGCCACTTCTTCAAACAAGGTATAGCCTGGGCTTTCCTTTCCTTGCCGTTTTATAAAAACTTCATTTAGCTTCTTTGTGATAAGCACCGTGAAGTTCAATGTTTGTAGCCATTTTGTCTGCTTTCAATTCGTTATGGACATTGTGTTTTTCATTGAAGAATGTTTCTATTTAACTCAAGCAAGAATCAAAACGTTTCGATACGTTACCCCTGGAAAGCACTGTATTGTGCAGATGTAGGTTAGAATATTGATGTCTTTATTATACGTTTTATCAAATAGTTCTTTAAGGAGTTTTGTAAAACGCTTGTTGACATCCTTCTTCTTACTCGTTGGGATTCCCTTCAACACAAATTAAGTATTGCGTTATGCGTCAAATAGGGCATTGGCTCCGATTTCAGCCTGCTTTTCTTTTTGTATTTGCCAACCAAGAACAAACTACAAGACAGCAGTTGTTTGATTTTGGAGTTGTCTCTCCTAGAAAAGTTGCTGTCTACAGCTATCTATCGAGCCTAATCTGTCTTGGGGTTCGAACTCGATACAACACGGCCAGATCCCGAACAAGACAAAGGTTCCAGTACTGGAAGTCTACAAGAACACGAACATAAGTGGCAGGGTCTTGTAGTTTCATCAATCAACATTATGCCACCAACAACAACATAAAGTTGAGCGAACATACACACTACACTGACTCAAGACTGTAAATAGGTTGTATATTGTTTAATTATAAATATAAAACTACTTATAAAAATATATATGTCAAAAAGAACAATCCCGAAGATTGTCACGAAAAAGTACACAACCAAAATCTAGAAAAGCTGCAATTCAAATTTTAAAAAAGACATCGTTTTCTAGTTCTCTCTCACCATGTATACCTTTCAGACACACTTGTTTTATATAGTGCTTTTTTAATAATATAGACTTGGAATAAATAATTCCTCTTCCCCCCCCCCCCCCCAACTTGCCCTTGATCTTCTACTGCTCATTATTCTCATTAGCCTCATACAAACGGTCCTATCCCAGGTGTGAAAAAAATGCCGTCGGTTATACAGCCTGCTAAATGAGTCTACTCATTACCTCCATTAACAAATAAAAGAGATGTGTTGTAGGAGGTTACGAATACTTTTCATAAAGGTCAAGGTCGAGTTGTGAGTACAACTCACGGGCTGTCTCATCAAGGTCACCGCGACATAAGGACATTGACTAACGCTCCGGGGAACGAAAGCTCTTAATTGGGGTAGCAGCGCCGTACAAGGTTTGTTCAGAGGCGTAGCGGAATTTTTCATCACAGAAATCTTTAGCCTTCAATCTATGCCAATGTCAGTGTTGGTTGTTGTGTGTGTTTGATGTGTTGATGTGTGAGTATGTGTGAAGTAGGTGTATGTGATGTGTATGTGATGTGTGATGTGCATGTGTGTGTGATGTGTGTGTGTGTGTGATGTGTGAGTGATGTGTATGTGTGTGATGTGTGTGTGATGTATGTGTGATGTATGTGGTGAGTCTGGTGCGTGTGATGTGTGTGTGTGATGTGATGTGTGTGTGATGTGTATGTGTGTGGTGTGTGTCTGATGTGGGATGTGTGTGGGATGTATGTGTGATGTATGTGGTGTGTCTGGTGTGTGTGATGTGTGTGTGTGATGTGTGTGGGATGTATGTGTGATGTATGTGGTGTGTCTGGTGTGTGTGATGTGTGTGTGTGATGTGATGTGTGTGTGTGATGTGTATGTGTGTGATGTGTGTCTGGTGTGTGTGTGTGTGATGTGTGTGTGATGTGTGTGTGATGTGTGTGATGTGTGTATTATATGTGTCTGATGTGTGTGTGATGTGTGTGTGATGTGTGTGATATGTGTCTGGTGTGTGTGATGTGTGTGATGTGTGTCTGGTGTGTGTGATTACTGACCATTTAACCAACTGCAAGCATCAATGGATTTAAAAAATATGTAAGCATCTCTAAGCCACATCCTGTTGTGTGACTCTGGCCCTAGGATTAGGTCACGTAGATATAGCTGACTAATAAAAATTGTTACATAACCAGTCGTTTCAGTGGAAGCACATACCATTTCTCAGCCCCCTCTCCCCCCCCCCGGCTATAGTGATTCTCCAATGCTAACGAGGCAACTATGAGCGGAGCAGGACTATTATGGTAAGTAACTCTCTTACACACAGTCTTAAGACTTGTGTACAAGATCCATGTATTTATTGTCTTTAATATGTTAGAAAATTACAATTATTTGAACGAAAATAAAAAACAATTTGGTTTTTCTTCTCTCAGCGTGGTAATGACGACCCAAAGACAAATAGGCTAGGCCTAGTATAAATTATAGGAAATAGCATGATACGCACTTAAGTAATACTTTTTATTGCACCACTCGACTTAATTCTAAAAAGCGATACTTCAAAACAATAAATTTTGATGTTATTTATTTTAAAAAGCTACACAAAGGTAATCCTGAATAGCTAATTAAAGTTGGTACTATTTAGGGGATACGACCAATTAATGTCAACCAATTATGGTCGAGTGATCAAAACTAAACTGAAATGAAGCCTCGAAGTAAAAACGACTGACAAGGCAGTTGGATTGTAGACCTGACTTTCTACGATAAACCAAGCGAGGTGACTATAAACCACACAATACAACGACCGGTAAACCCGCGCCAGGTAATGATTCAAACAAGATAATTAAAACACCAATCAGCACTCCAGAATAATGATAAACCAAAAAATAAACAAAGCAGTTGCCCAAAGCTTACGGCGAGAGAAGGAGTAAACAGCAGCGAGAGTCAAAACAACCAGCACACAGAATAGTACTAAGGGAGAGTAGTCTGGTTCATCTGGGCAGCACTTGTTTCCACAGCAAGCTCCAGGGCAGTAAAAGAATTCACCTTCTGCCCATTCCAGTTTCATATAATGTCCAAAGGCGGATGCAGTTATGGCGTAAGAAGTTTCGTTCTTACAACGTTCTGCTGTCACTTCTGTATAGAGATTGGTGATATTAATAGCATTCTCCCCTTCCTCTCTCACACCTCACTCACCCCTCACTCACTCACTCACTCAATCACTCACTCACTCACTCACACAAACACCAAACCACCCACACACGCACCCACTCACTTACGCACGCATGTGCGTAAGCACTCACACACGCACGCATGCACTTATCCATTCAATCACTCACTCGTTCACTCACATTCATTCCATTCACTCACTCCATTCACTCACACCACTCACTCCAATCACCCACTCACTCTAGAAATTCCATTCACTGCATTCTGTCATCATTCACTCACTTCATCAATTAATCAGTGATCACTCACTCACTCTATTCACTTCACTTCTTACATTTACACCACCACCTTTTCATACGTGTATTCTACAATCGTGACATCCTAGCAAACCATTGAACTCACCGTTCATGTTAACAAACAAAAAGAGCAGGAAAAGAACTTTCTGGAAACTGTTCACTGTCCAGCCTCTATACGTCACGCTCACGTGGTCTGTCCCCAGCTGGACCTCATGGATGATCTGGGTCTCTGGCTGTGGGGTCAGTGTCACGGCCGTGACCTTTGCTCTTCGTGGTCGAACTCTAATCTCGCTCTTTTCAAGCGCTAACGGCTTCGTTTGATTGGTTGTCCACTCCTGTAGTAGACAAACGGTAAGCTCTTCTATAGGCCAAGGTTGGTCCAGCTGCAGCTGAAAATACAGGTAAGTGTTAAACCTACGTCAGCCAATACACATTACACAATACCAAGTTTGACATGTTCTGCCCACCCCCTACCCCATTAAACGGTATTTAACATCACATTATAGATGAACCTCTATGACTATTTCATATAACACAATATAACAAAATGTAAATTATCCCTACCCGATGAATGCTACATAACATTTTGCACGAATGTATAACCGCCCTAGTTTATTCAGTAGTTTTTCTTTCTTTGAATAAGGCTTGCATACCGTTTAACATCACAAAACCTTAAAAGCTTGGGTTCAACGTTTTATATGACAGTCATGTACATTTATTCAACAAGCTCGTGACCATCTTGTAACGAAGCCAAACATACGTCCTATGGTTACCTTATCGGTAATTTATCCGTTACGTATCGGCTACTTTAGATACTTCCACGGCGAATGTAACGTTTGTAAAGTTATAATGAATGTACCTCTCTGAAGACCGGGTTGATGTTGACACAGATAACCAGCCCCAGTCTCTCGGGGTAGTGGCTACCCAGTATGTTGGACACGGTGTAGCCCAGCTTGGGGTTGCAGGCTCCGAACGTCATCCCTGAGGACATGGGGGAAGTGTGGTCAGGTGTGGTCAGGTGTAGTCAGGTGTGGGCCTGGTGTGGTTAGGTGTGGTTAGGTGTGGTCAGGTGTGGTCAGGTGTGGTCAGGTGTGGCCAGGTGTGGTCAGGTGTGGTCAGGTGTGGTCAGGTGTGGTTAGATATGGTCAGGTGTGGTCAGGTGTAGTCAGGTGTGGGCCAGGTGTGGTTAGGTGTGGTCAGGTGTGGTCACATGTGGTCAGGTGTGGTCAGGTGTGGTCAGGTGTGGCCAGGTGTGGTCAGGTGTGGTCAGGTGTGGTCAGGTGTGGTCAGATATGGTCAGGTGTGGTCAGGTGTGGTCATGTGTGGTCAAGTGTGGTGGTCAGGTGTGGTCAGATGTAGTCAGGTGTGGGTAGATGTGGTCAGGTGTGGTCAGATGTGGTCAGGTGTGGTCAGATGTGGTCAAGTGTGGTCAGGTGTGGTCAGGTGTGGTCAGGTGTGGTCAGGTGTGGTCAGGTGTGGTCAGATATGGTCAGTGTTACGTCCCTTACATGTCCCCTGCTTGTGTGTGTGTGTGTTGTGTGCTGGAACGACAGGTACCCTCCCTTTGGTGTATAGTTGTATCCCTTGGTTGAGTGTGTTTACACGGAGCGAGAGGTGTTCACGTGAGGTGTGTCAGGTGACGGGTGTCAGAGCGTGTGCCAGTGTGTGAATCAGTTGGTTGTAGGGTGGCTGTGGACGTGGAACGTGGAACGTGGGGTTGAGATCTGGATGTGAAGTTGTGCTGTGGCTGTGGACGGGGAGACGTTGAGTATCTTGTTATTTTATGTTGTAGACTCCATTTGCTCTTTTATTATTCTTATTACTGTATACATTTATATTAAACATCTTATTGTTATTATTATATTTATATAGTGTTAGTTGTCTTTGTTTGTCGCTACATATATATATACCCTAGATTCCAGAACCCAACATTTGGGGGCCCGTCCGCTTAGTATGGCGACTACCAGGAGTGCCAGAAGACAGCTAATAAGTGACTTGAAGGAGGAGGGAAAGCTAATCGGGCTGACCGATGACAGTTTGGCGGAGTGGGTAAAGGAAGAGTTGAGGAGAGTGGAAGATGCGAAGGTCGAGGTTGTAGCAAAGGTATGTAACCCTGTACCCCGCTTGAGGGATGTGGCGGCGATGACGGTGGACGAAGACCTGGGTGCGTATGTGAGGCATTTTGAGAGTCAGGCAAAGAGACAAGGCATTGACCCCAAGGACTGGTCGCTCCTTCTGACGGACAAGATGAGTGGACAACTGAAGACTTTCCTCGTTGAGACGGGACTGAACCTGCATCATGACTTCGAGTCAGTAAAGGTAAAGTTATTCACGCACGCAGGTTTCAACGAGGAAAAGTATAGGGTCAGATTCCACCAGCTGGTACCAACACACGACGACATGAGAAGCTTCGCAGTCAACACAGAAGCCGCTTTGAGAGCGTGGGTCCGGCAGTCGGAGACAAAAGAAACGTTTGAGGACTTGGTGAACCTCCTGATAGTTGATCGTATAAAATCGGTTGTCACGTGTGATCTGTTGGAGAGGCTGAATGGTGCTGCTAAGGTAAGTGTGGAAGATAATCTCAAAGTTATTGACAACTATAAGAGCACTCAAAACGCTAGAGTGACGAGGCCAGTACACCAAACCCCTCCGTACGTCGCTGCAAGTTCTACAGCAGAGAGGATACCCTGGCAAAACAAGACACCGCGATCTCCAGGACGCCACACTTGCCCTTCCACGGAAGAAATTGAGTGCTACTCATGCGGGGGAGTTAATCATACAGCGGGAGTCTGTCCCACCTCTAGACGGGACAAGAACGAAACAGGTAAACGGCAGGCATGACTAGCTGGTGTACAGCCTATGCATGGTGTTAGGAAGATCAGCCTGAACAGTAAATGTTATGCATGTGGACGTTATGGACACTATGCCAGGGATTGTCATAGCAATAGTAATAGCGGCTTTACTTGGCGAAATAGGTCAGAGAAAAGAGCTGTTGTGGAGTATGGAAACAACAAAAGACCTTATCGGTGCTACAAATGCAATGAACAAGGTCATATTGCCAAAGAGTGCAGTATGGATATAGATACAGGCGCCTGTTATAGCTGTAGAAAGCCAGGCCACATACAACGAAACTGTCCCAACGGGACCAGTAGAGCGTGCAGCTGGCGTACTGAAAATGTACATCAACGATCAGATGATCTCAAGTGTAATTGCTGCGGTGGTGTTGGTCACATATCACGGGTGTGTCCCACAGCTCAGCGTGATATGTTAGGAAATTTTTCCCTGCTTAAAGACTCTCATATGAGAGTGAGGTAAAGCACGAAATTTGGAGGCGTATCCTTACAAAGGTAGTGTCCTTGGTAAGTTTTTTGTTAAGATAATTTATTCAATCAATGTTAATTTTTCTTTGTTTTTTTTTTTACAGAAGCTGTGTATGATGATTACGGGCTGGAGATGATTAATGTAGTTAAAACGGCTATCGAGAAGGGAACTCAGTTTGATCGCCTTTAAGGAAAGATGACCATCTATGGCGACGTACGCATCTGCCGATGGGCCCTTGCACTACAGGAATTAGCCTGTACTGTGAAACATATCAAGGGAACTGAGAACTTTGTAGCAAACAATCTATCAAGAGTGTTTTACGACAACTAGTGTATATGATATTGAGAAATTTATCATTGTTGGAGATAGTATGATTATGTTAAAGAATTTACTATTGGGGCAATATAATATGATTATATTGAGAAATGTTTGAGAAATGTATTACTGATGCAGTATAGAATGATTATGCTGATTAATTTTTTTTATTGTGGCTTCTCACATGTATCATTATAGGTTGAGATAGTCAGACCACGAGCTTGGTGCCCGGCCGGAGAAAAACCATAGTCCACACTCAGGACCGAAATGTTCAAGCTGGATACACGCCACACTCTGGATCAAACTGTCCAGGCTGGATACACGCCACACTCTGGATCAAACTGTCCAGGCTGGATACACGCCACACTCTGGATCAAACTGTCCAGGCTGGATACAAGCCACACTCTGGATCAAACTGTCCAGGCTGGATACACGCCACACGGTCAAAACGAGGCTTTCTAAGGACTAAAGAATAAGTAGTCGAGCTCGGGCACCAACAGTGGCTAATGGAACAAGAGATGTTTGATCTCTTTGAAGAAAAAGAGATCTGAAGGTGGAGGGGAGGGATGTTACGTCCCTTACATGTCCCCTGCTTGTGTGTGTGTGTGTTGTGTGCTGGAACGACAGGTACCCTCCCTTTAGTGTATAGTTGTATCCCTTGGTTGAGTGTGTTTACACGGAGCGAGAGGTGTTCACGTGAGGTGTGTCAGGTGACGGGTGTCAGAGCGTGTGCCAGTGTGTGAATCAGTTGGTTGTAGTGTGGCTGTGGACGTGGAACGTGGAACGTGGGGTTGAGATCTGGATGTGAAGTTGTGCTGTGGCTGTGGACGGGGAGACGTTGAGTATCTTGTTATTTTATGTTGTAGACTCCATTTGCTCTTTTATTATTCTTATTACTGTATACATTTATATTAAACATCTTATTGTTATTATTATATTTATATAGTGTTAGTTGTCTTTGTTTGTCGCTACATATATATATACCCTAGATTCCAGAACCCAACAGTCAGGTGTGGTCAGGTGTGGTCAGATGTGGTCAGGTGTGGTCAGGTGTGGTCAGTTGTGGTCAGATATGGTCAGGTGTGGTCATGTGTGGTCAAGTGTGGTCAGGTGTGGTCAGGTGTGGTCAGATATGGTCAGGTGTGGTCAGGTGTGGTCAAGTGTGGTCAGGTGTGGTCAGGTGTGGCCAGGTGTGGTCAGGTGTGGTCAGGTGTGGTCAGGTGTGGTCAGGTGTGGTCAGGTGTGGTCAGATATGGTCAGGTGTGGTCAGGAGTGGTGGTCAGGTGTGGTCAGGTGTGGTCAGGTGTGGTCAGATATGGTCAGGTGTAGTCAGGTGTGGTGAGGTGTGGTCAGGTGTGGTCAAGTGTGGTCAGGTGCGGTCAGGTGTGGTGGTCAGGTGTGGTCAGTATTGGTCTGGTGTGGTCAGGTGTGGTCAGGTGTGGTGAGGTGTGGTGAGGTGTGGTCAGTGTGGTCAGGTGTGGTGGTCAGGTGTGGTCATATGTGGTCAGGTGTGGTCAGGTGTGGTCAGGTGTAGTCAGGTGTGGTGAGGTGTGGTCAGGTGTGGTCAGGTGTAGTCAGGTGTGGTGAGGTGTGGTCAAGTGTGGTCAGGTGTGGTGGTCAGGTGTGGTCATATGTGGTCAGGTGTGGTCAGGTGTGGTCAGGTGTGGTCAGGTGTGGTCAGGTGTAGTCAGGTGTAGTCAGGTGTGGTGAGGTGTGGTCAAGTGTGGTCAGGTGTGGTGGTCAGGTGTGGTCATATGTGGTCAGGTGTGGTCAGGTGTGGTCAAGTGTAGTCAGGTGTGGTCAAGTGTGGTCAGGTGTGGTCAGGTGTGGTCAGGTGTGGCCAGATGTGGTCAGGTGTGGTCAGATGTGGTCAGATATGGTCAGGTGTGGTCAGGTGTGGTCATGTCTCTTCAGGCGTGGTCAGGTGTGATCGTGTGGTTCGGTGTGGCCAAGTGTGGTCACAAGTGATCGCATATGGTTTTGTTAGAGCCTTGATTGAGATTCCACTCACATGTGCAGTCGATGACAAAGTCCCCTGCAGTTACCCTAATGTCCATGATGACCGTTTCATTCTCAATCAGGTCAGGCAAATTTTCCACGACGTCATCGACAAAGTTCTTGTGGATAGAAGCTTGGGCGAAGCTGGAGTACATCACTGGTCTACCAGACTCGTCAAATCCTACCTGATGCTTGAGTAGGTGAGATAATGGTAGACAAGGGAAGTAACTTTACAGTTAAAAAACTAACATTAAAAGAGGCGAATAAGATCAAGGGAAATAACGCTAGAGTAAGGGAATTGAGATCAAGTGAAATAACATGTTATTACCAGCGAGTACTCGAGTGTGTTGAGCAGGATCTTCTCGGTGTCCTTGAGACACACCACCAACCTATCAGAGATAATTTGGTGTCATGTTTCGTAGCACTAGCAACTTGACATGAAATGACAACTCACATTGGCGAACTTGACATGACAACCCACATTGGCGAAATGACAACTCAAATTGGCGAAATTGTCATGACAACCTAAATTGGCGAACTTAACATGATAAGACAGCCCACATTGGCGAACATGGCATGACAACCCACATTGACGAACTTGACATGACATGACAACCCACATTGGCAAACTTGATAGATTTGTAGACAAATTGATAGATTGTTGATAGTTAGTTTAAAAAATGGTTTCCTTACGTCTCATCATGTGGTTCCAAATTTCGCTGATCTAAAAGGGGGGTAACCACTCCAATAGTTTGCATTAACTTCCCCGTATTAGAACAGACATATACTCCTTTAGATAGAATCATACTCCAGACTTGGTTAGTTCGAGCAACTTACGCCATTTCAAAACAAGGTTCCTTTGGGACGGGTCGTAAAGTCAGTAGAGTGGAACGTACTGAAAACACAATACCAGCTGGTGACACAGAGTGGAACGTACTGAAAACACAACACCAGCTGGTGACACAGAGTGGAACGTACTGAAAACACAATACCAGCTGGTGACACAGAGTGGAACGTACTGAAAACACAACACCAGCTGGTGACACAGAGTGGAACGTACTGAAAACACAATACAAGCTGGTGACACAGAGTGGAACGTACTGAAAACACAACACCAGCTGGTGACACAGAGTGGAACGTACTGAAAACACAACACCAGCTGGTGACACAGAGTGGAACGTACTGAAAACACAACACCAGCTGGTGACACAGAGTGGAACGTACTGAAAACACATTACCAGCTGGTGACACCTAGTCGAAATACGCTGGGGAAAAAAATCACAGCTTTTTACAAATGTACTTCTCCAAGCAAGGGTGGAACACCAACGCAAAAACTTTCGGATTATAGAAACAATAGCACTACGGCTAGTTGGATTACTATCAATAGAAACAGTAGGACTACGGCTAGTTGGATTACTAACTGTCAATAGAAACAGACATCGCTGTTTTTAATTGTAAACAGCTGCTTCACGCCGATCTGCTGGGTTGTTGAAAATTGAAACAGCTGAAACAAAGCTTCAAATTTGACGAAAATAGAAGCTTTGTTGAGGAGGCCTAATTTTAACAACTATATTTTGTTTAATACGTTCTTCACCTAAAGGGGAGTGGGTAACATCAAAATGCCAACTCCACTGAGAAAAGAATACCAGTTCTTGTTGAATTAACATGTGTTAGAGCTTAAGGTATATTTAAGTTTAGATTTAGACATTTCTACGGCTGTGGGGAAAGGGGGGGGGGGGGTAGGACATAAAGCATTTTACTTTTACACCGTGTAACATTTTTACTGAGAGTACAATGTCAAACTGATATTTTTTTAATGTTGCACAATTTTATGGCCTCGAACAATACAAAAGCGGGGGGAAGGGGGGGGGGGGGTGTTAAATGTCACTAGTCGAAAATGTAAAAAAAAAAATAGCTTACAGAGAAAACCAGGCTTGGAAAACAAACGGTGAGCATAGAAACTAGAAGAGGCGATCGTTTGTGATGAAAACATTATGGTTGCTGGTACATTATGTGTCGCGATTTTGCGCACATTGCGTTCATTTAGTGTGCAAATAACCGTGCGATTTTACTAATATAAAAGAGGTCATAAAAACGTTAACCCACTTTTATAAATTATATGCAGTGAAATTGTATTTAAAATGATTTTGTTAGAGTTTGTTTGTTTTGAAGAGTGGAAGAGTGGGTGAGTGGGAGAGTAGAAGAGTTGAAGAGTTGAGGAGTGGGAGAATGGGAGAGTGGGAGAGTGGAAGAGTGTGAGAGTGGATGAGTGGAAGAGTGGGAGAGTCGAAGAGTGGGAGAGTCGAAGAGTGGGAGAGTGGAAGAGTGGGAGAGTGGACGAGTGGGAGAGTGGAAGAGTGGGAGAGTGGAAGAGTTGAGGAGTGGGAGAAGGGAGAGTGGAAGAGTGGAAGAGTAGGAGAGTGGAAGAGTTGAGGAGTGGAAGAAGGGAGAGTGGAAGAGTGGAAGAGTGGAAGAGTGGGTGAGTGGGAGAGTGGAAGAGTTGAAGAGTGGAAGAGTCGAAGAGTGGGAGAGTTAAAGAGTGGAAGAGTGTGAGAGTGGAATAGTGGAAGAGTGGAAGAGTGGAAGAGTGTCGTATTTCTCCCTCAACGGGTCATTTACCTAGTGAAAAATAAGTTACATCAGCAATATTCAATCGGCGGTTAATAAGTCTGGCCGTTTTGCCGGTTCAAGGTGTCGGAAGAAAATGAAAACATGCTAAATGATAAATCTCTTGTACGCCCGCCATTCAATGAATAAAAAATAAAACTGTCCATGTTTATGGTTATATTTTTTTCTTAATTTACCTTATAGTACAAATTATAGATCGAGGTTCGATTTAGCAACTAAAGAGTCGTAGTTGTGCCGGTCTGTGCAGCTCAACGACGCGAAAAAGCGCGTTAATTTAAAATTGTTATGAATGTGTTGGATAATTATAGGACTATAATATAGGAGAGCAGCGGGTGTTTGTAAACATAAGCGTAGGTTTAGAGTAGCATCCCTTTTTCCCACGTTTTCTTTAACTTGCTTTCTCTGTCTTTCCAATCAAATCTTGCGATCGAAATTTCTGGCACTTCCCAGTTA